ATCATCATCACCACAACCATCATCATCTTCTTCATCATCATCGTCATCATCTTCTTCTTTACCACCACCACCATCGTCATCATCTTCTTCTTTACCACCACCACCATCGTCATCATCATCATCTTCTTCATCATCATCGTCATCATCACCATCGGTCAAAGGTTAAGTCCAGAACTCTATCTAAAAAGACCCATGCTGGAAGGCGAAAAGTGGAGGCTGGATGAAATTCTAAAGCGAAAAGCTGTTAGTTGCCATCGTCATCATCATCATCACCGTCATCATCATCATCAGCATCACCGTCATCATCATCGTCATCAACAACTCGTCATCATTATCAGGACGAGGGAGTGAAAGTCTTCATCCTAGTATACAAGGAGTTGGAGATAGCACTAGGCATAAATAGCTACTACACGAAGCAGATACTCACAGCCAAGAATAGAGAGAACATTAAAGTACGTGTTTGTGTGTGTGTTTGTGTGTGTGTTTGTGTGTGTCTGTGTGTGTGTGTTTGTGTGTGCGTGTGTGTTGATGTGGTTTTCTTTCATTATGTACTTATTAATGGCTATCACTGATATCATTGATTATAAATTAACGTTACGACCATAAATTAATTTGAAGTTATGAACAAAATATAAATAAATTATGAATCAGTTTTGAATAATTAAAAATAATTATGAATAATTTATGGATAAATTATGAATAAATTATGAATAGTTATGAATAATTATGAATAAATTATGAATAGTTATGAATAAATTATGAATAATAATGAATAAATTATGAATAATTATGAATAATTATGAATAAATTATGAATAGGTCCTCAGACATCCGAATGGCATAAAGCTCTGGTCCCACCATGAGAAGTGTGTGGTCATCGATCAGAAGGTTGCATTTCTCGGGGGCATTGACCTTTGCTACGGGCGATGGGACACCAGAAAACATCGGTGCTGATGATGATGATTGTGATGTTACTGATCAATTTCAATCAATCGATTAATCAATCAATCAGTCAATCAATAAACGAACCAACCAACTAATTTTTTTAAATCGATTATTTTATAGGCACTCTAACTAACCATTGAACCAACCAAACAGCCAACAAATTCATCAACTAACAAACAAACTAATTGATTATTTAACTAATCAATCAGTTAATCAATCAATCAATCAACTAACTAACCAGCCAATCAATCAACATATCAGATTAACAGATGTTGGTTCAGTACATCTTTCAAACATTTATGGCAATCAAGATGAAGATGCCCTTAACAACATTCTAAACCACATACCCAACATCGTTCAAAAACAAACATCGAGTGACGCTACTACTTCTACTGCTGCTGCTGCTGCTGCTAGTATACCAGCTGTTGCTAAAATAGCTGCCAGGGCTAAGACAGTAGCTGGAGATGTTTCTTCAGCAGCTGCTAAC